ACCAGATATGGGTGCCAGCAATTCACGTGTCTGTTTGCCATAGCCGTTGTCGACAAGTATCCGCGTCACCTTATCCATTACTTCAGGAACGTTGGTCGACGTCATCTTCCAGCTGTTGCCAAGGTGTTTTTAACGACATTTCTTTTCATGAACAGGGGGTGGCAGCTTCTCGAATGGATTAAGATGTTTTTCGAAGCGCTCTTCTTGTGCCACATAGAGAACACCTGGTTTCCTGCAAGCTTCACTTTTGTGTTCAGGAATGGCAAAAACCGTCCTGTTCTGGGTCCTCGGCAGTCAGCGCAATATTGGGGTGCGCCGAGTTCAGCTCGATGAATGTCCGACGGAGTGCTGTTCTAGATTTTCCGACTACAAATATGTCATCTATGTAGCGACCGTAGAACAGCAGTCCTGATGAGAAGGCTTTCTAAACGGTCCATGAATATGATGGCAAGAAGCGGTGCAATGCGGCTGCCCACGGCTAATCCTCTCGTCTGCATGTAAATGTTGTTTTGGAATCGGAACATGTTGAACTTCACAACATTTACCAGAAGCTCTTCAATCTCGCCAATGGACAAACCGTATAATTGACAGCTATTGGAATGCTGTCGTAGTAGGTCAATGCACGCTTCAAATCTGAAACTCCTTCAACGTCAATTCCATCCATGTAAGAGCACATTTCTTATAATGCTGGATTATGTGGCGCATCATCAGCTAGCGCTTACCTTGGATGAGTCCCTCGTTTTTCTAACGAAGTGCAGACAGTGTAGGCTTACCCCTACATTCATTCGGAATATGGTTCAACGTTTTTCGTACTACCGTCAGGATGAAGAAGTGTCGAACACAGGACTGCCTGCTAGATGCAACGATTGCGGAGCAAAAGCGTAAAAAGAACATCTGTATCAGAACGATTGTGCAGCTCAAAGCGGCCCTACGACAGAGATTGAGTGTGGAGTGTTGCACTCAGTTAACGGTTAAGGTTTAAGTTAAGGCACGTCTTTCTAAACGGTCCATGAATATGATGGCAAGAAGCGGTGCAATGCGGCTGCCCATGGCTAATCCTCTCGTCTGCATGTAAATGTTGTTTTGGAATCGGAACATGTTGAACTTCACAACATTTACCAGAAACTCTTCAATCTCGCCAATGGACAAACCGTATAATTGACAGCTATTGGAATGCTGTCGTAATAGGTCAATGCACGCTTCAATTGCCATTCTCGTGTCTACGTTGGTGTAAAGAGCAGACACGTCGAAGCTTTGATATGATGTTCTTGAAGCGTTTGGAACCGTTCTCTCTCGTAGACATCTCAGGAAATGGTCAGCATTTTTCAAATGAGCCGGGACATAGTTCAGAAGTGGTGACAGAATGTGTTGTAGGAGCCAGCTTATCGCATCAGTTGGGCCCCCACACGACGAAACAATCGGTCTGGTCTTGATGAGGCTGTTATCGTTCATGACACGTCCTTCGGACTCTGTCAGCTTGTGTGTCTTACAAGCTGATAATACGTTGGAATACATGGATATTTAGGAAGGAGTCGTGTCAGAGTTTGCGTTTCCAATTTCGGACGAAGAACTTTTCTTATTACCTCCTCAAGCTTACTGCACTCTCGTTTGTAGCAGTTCATCGTAGTCAAGCAATATGTCGATGAGTCGGACAGAACTGTTTCAGTTAGAGTTATATCTCGTGTCCGTGACATGACTACGAATCCGCCACACTTGTCGCCAACCGTGAACCTCAGTGAACTCTTCAAAGCTAACGCTTTCCGTAGACCATATCGTTCTGACCGCGTCATATTATCCGGCGTTCCCAGTCCTTTATGATGGTCAAATACTTTGAGAAGGTTAGCCTGTAACTCTCTCAGATTCGACGAAAAAGTTGGGTCGTACGATGGTGCAGAAACTCGAGTGCGAGGGAATGGCATGGCTTTCCTCAAGCTTTCCTGGAGTGTAGGAGCCGTAGCTCCTGTTTGCTCCTTCCAGCTGTGGACATAGCCGAACTTATATACTGCAGCCATTACATCAATTCTTGCTTCCTCGGTGAACCTTGGTCTTGGCGCAAAACTGGGGCCAAGGTTCAAGAGGCTAAGGACGTCTTCATCAACCTGATCATCATCTAGAACGACACATCTCTTCGGGGTATCGAATCTCTGATAATAAACCGTGATGGTGCTATAGGTTTCGGAGATTCGTGAGCTTGTTCTCCAGGCGATGTCGTGTCTCAGTGCGGAGACTGTCACACTTTTCTCTGTGATGCAACATTAACTGAGTCAACACTCCACACTCACTCTCTGTCGTAGGGCCGCCTTGAGCTGCACAATCGTTCTGATACAGATGTTCTTTTTACGCTTTTGCTCCGCAATCGTTGCATCTAGCAGGCAGTCCTGTGTTCGACACTTCTTCATCCTGACGGTAGTACGAAAAACGTTGAACCATATTCCGAATGAATGTAGGGGTAAGCCTACACTGTCTGCACTTCGTTAGAAAAACGAGGGACTCATCCAAGGTAAGCGCTAGCTGATGATGCGCCACATAATCCAGCATTATAAGAAATGTGCTCTTACATAGATGGAATTGACGTTGAAGGAGTTTT